ATGACAGTTCTCCTCTGTTAGTAAATATCTCTCTTCTCCACTAGAACTGCTTAGTTTGGGTGAATTCTAGCTGAAGGGTGAAAAGCCAAATGGAACTGGTCATTTTGCCAGATAAATCTGATCCCAGCTCTATAAAGGAAGTAAAAAGGAAATTAGAAAGTCTTTAACAAAAATTGTTGATAAGTGGCTAGAGACTGGGAGGGAAACAGGAAGCACAGAGAACTAGAAATCCAACTCTAAGCAAAAGAAAGACACAGGAAAGAACCCATGTATGACATAATTAGCAAAGCTGCTAACCCTGAGAAAAAGATTAAAATATACATGACTACAGCCTGACTTTTGCTACTAAATCACTAAATCACAGAAGAAGCAAAGAAAAACCTTGGGTTTGAACCTCAGGGATTTTTGTAATATCAGGCAGCTCTGACTCTACACGTAACTAGTATCCTCCTTCCTGGCCTGTTAGCTGTAGACAATAGGGCAACCAGTTTCACGAGGCTCCCTGGAGTAAGTCAGCAGTTTCTGAAATCCAACTCCTTAATAACTTTCCATATAGCAAAGTATTTATCTACTATATGCCAATTTGTCTTAGAATTTTAACAAATGTCTACATAAAGCTATATTAAATGGTATACACCCTTCTCTAAGGAAATTTGAATCAGCAGCATTAATGATTGCCAAGATTATTATTACCAGCAATCACTACTAGATAAGACAGAGGTAGAACAACAATGCTCTCAGCCCTTGTTAAGAAGGTCCTACCTTCTACAATAGTTTTAAAACTGAAAGCAACCAAATCCCCAAGACCCTAGTCCAGTCAAGCCCTTCTACTGAAAAAGTTTAATGATGTCCCAGCTCTAGACCACATGGGGAGCAACAGAATCCACCATTTCCCCCTTTTAGTGTGCTGACTGCTAGTTTCAATGCCTTCCTCAAAAACAGTTGGGGTATATCTCTTAAACTAAAGTGACACAAAACCAAGAGCCACGGGGTACAACTGAGCACACAGAGTGCATGTCACCTTTGCCCATAAAACACACTGAAGTGACTCCATGTCGTGGTAAGTTATCAATTTATGGAAAGAACATTGCAGAGATTAAAATGTTGCATAAGAGAGAGGGATCAACATGAGTCAGGGATTTGGAAATTATGAGTCAGAATATAGAGAAGGAGCCAAAAGGAGAGAGAACAAAGGCCTCAGCAGGGGCCTAAGAGGCACCAGTGAATGGACATCATCCCTATGTTAGCTTACAGATAATGTTACATCTAAAATGCCACTGACTGAAGCCAGCCTGAGAGAGAGCTACCAAAGATTATACTGGATTATTTAAAGCAATTAAGGTTATTGGTGTCAAGAAGAGGGACCCCTACAACAGTGTAAATCACAAGGAAGGAGATCTGCAAACTTTTCTTTTAAATGAAGGAATCACTAAATAATGTCCTTAGTTAGTCTCAATGATTAAAAGTGTTGGGGAATTTTAGGAAGCAGGTTTGATTGTTTAGTCCAGGGCTGCTTCATTAACAGCTGTTTGCTAGTTTGTTATAGTATTCAATACAAACCCTGGAATCCCACATTTAAGTCTGAACTTTACTAGTGACTTGAGCAAGCATTTTATGAGCACATTTTGCCAGACCCAGCACCAGGTTCCTCACACATAGTCCCTACAGACATGTTGACTCCAGCTCCCTGCTGTTCTCTGGTGGGACCCTGCTTTCAACAGACAGCTTCTTTCCATTACCAGATACAGAGATCCACATGACGGCTCTTCACATAGCAGCCCCTCTGCTAAGCTTCTTCTGCTTGCTCACTCTGGGCAATGCAGTCCTCTGAACTAAACTGCTATATGTCAGAAGCAAATTGTTCACTCTGCTGTGCTCCTGGGGCCTTATCTGTTACTCTGCCTTATGAATTTTACTTCCATAGTCTAAAGCAGTGGTCCTACTTTCTGTAAACTCTGAACACCAAGCTAATGATTAATTCATCCATTAATTGGGTAAACATTTACTGAAAACCCATCACATTCCATGCACTATAGTAAGCAAGGGAAATGAACTTAACTGTCAAGGACAAATGATAGATAATTAAAAAAACAAAAACAAGAATTATTCCCCCCCCCAGAGTATTTGTTTCTAGATTCTCATAAAAACATGGCTGACCTGAGTCATTTTCCTGTTAAATAGCAGGGCTTTGCCTGCACAGATGGTCTCTCAAACAGATGTAGGAAGTCAGTTTTTCTCACAAACAACAGAGGTTCCTGCAAGGCAGTGACTGCACTGCAGTAGCAGAGTGAGGTAGTGTCACACTGAGACAGCAGACAGATAGAAAAGATGAACAAGAGTTTAGAGAAGTTATACAGTTTAACATGACTTTGTGTGAGCACATAAACAAGCAATAATGGGATCTTCAAAAACAGTAGCATTGTGGCATTTAAATAGAAACTATAATTGAAGACAGTCCACAGAAATTCAGTCTGTTGATATTCTTCAGCATTAAGTAAGTTGCTAAATGTGAAGGTTGGGGAGAATAAATATGGGAAAAATAAATACAACACTGGTTAGAACAGAAATGCTATGAAGCTGCTCCTGGCTGTAGCAGCTATGCTTTTAGCATTTGTAAGTCCAGGTTAAAGGAAAGTTTCATTCACCAGAACTAGATGAAGCAAGTTCTATTCCAGCTTTGTTTATGGGGTAGAGAAAGGAAAACAATGTAGTTGGAGTGGTGGCAGTAGTATTTGGGGCTTTGCTTTTATTAAATTACCGTAACTCACCAAATATTTTTATTGAATAATTCTATTCAGAAGCTAACTAGAGCAGACTCTTAGAAAGGATTTTATAGGTTTGTATATTTAAAACCTATTTCATGATACATTGATCCCAGTGGAAATGTTAGTATATTTATCAAAAGACACTTCCAAACAAATGATGGGAAAATAGGAAGGAACTTGCAGGATACCAGGAACGTGATGGGGTGGAGGCAGTTTACACAGAGAGATTGCAAAAAGAAATGCTTTAGTCACTGATGCGGCCTCTCTTAGTAGTGACAAGCCAGCCAAGTCCTTGATCTCCTGCTAGCATGGACAGAGCTGTTATCACTACAAATGTTGGCAGATGTCCCTGATATAAAACAATAGGAATTCTGCTGTCATTTCTGCATTAGCAAGTCATAAAGCTCTGAAGAATTCCCAGTAAAAAGGTTTTCATCAACTCCATTTCAAAAATAATGAGGCATGAAAGGGAGATGATAACTTCACAGGAAAGTCACTGCTACAGGGCCTTTCACCTAGAAAGGATACTCTGTGCTAGACTGTAAAATAGCATCGCAGTAATAGCATTAATGCATTTCAGAACAACAACCTTATTGGTGTCTTTAAATCAGGTTCCAAGAATTATGTGTTAAAGAAAGCCTTACTAGGTTTTATCCAATGAGCAGTCATACATCACTGATGCATCTTCATCCTCTTCCCCTCTTTTGCTGTACAGAATCTTTCTTATTGTTTCAAACCCAGCTAAGTTCAGGGGTTATCTCAGAATGACCCTCTTATGAAATAAACAGCTTGCTTTATGACATCACTTAGCCTACATGCAACAATTCAATTTCCCCAGAAAAATAAAAAATCAAAATAACACAAAGGGCCACTCTCTTCTGTAGATAGAAAACAGGAAGCATAGTTAATGCTCATAGCTGAGAACTGATTTCTTTTCACTGATCCTCTGTCCACAATCCTGAGTCTACTGAAATGATGATCTAAGATTCCCTTCCCCAGCAAGTCTATCTTGGTTCCATGCAAAAATGGTCATAGAAATAACATGTTTATGACATGACATTTTTTTGTTAAACTTACTCTTCAGTTGTTAGAGAATACCAAAACTATGTAGCCCCCTTTTAAAATCTAACTTCCTGATGGATATGTGACTTTTTAATGACTGTGAAGGATATGGATAAGGCAAAATGAATTCCAGCTATAAGTGGTTGTAAATTCCTGAGACACTTTGGTCAGGAACAAACTCTCAAAGCTATCTGGCTTTCTTTAGTAAGTTCTCTTTTCTAGAACTCTGACTTGCCTCCTACTGAAGACTCATGTAGCATTTATTCTCAGAAGTAAAATGTCTTAGGAAACTATGTATTTTGACCTACAGTAACATATCTCCCCTAGAAGAATATAATCAAATTGATGCTTTTCATTTTGAGTTTTATACATATGTTACTCTACCATTTGAGAAAATTGTGCCAGAAATGGCAACAGAGAATATGTAAGTGAGGTTTACGAAATTTTCTTAAATATGAAACAAGTTGATAGCAAAGTAAGAGCTGTGCACTCTACTCTCCCCCATCTCTCTCTCTCTCTCTCTCTCTCTCTCTCTCTCTCTCTCTCTCTCTCTCTCTCTCTTCCTCCCCCTCTTTCTCTCATGTGTGTGTGCACACATTCACATGCTACTGGTGATCAAACCCAGGACATTACACATACAGGAAAGTACTCTACTGATGAGCTATAGTCTAATCTCATTTTACTTACAGTTTTGAGATAGTGTCTAAGTTGCCAAGGCTGGACTTGAAATTCTTCTGTAGCCCAGACTGGACTTAAGTTCGAGATCCTCCTGCCTCAGCCTTCCAAGGCACTGTTGTTTATTCTCATAGGTGTATCTCTGTCTAGTAAAAGTATAAAACTGTCTCAGGGAAGGATTCATGCCTACTGGAAAATTGATAGGTGATAGGTAGAAGGAAGAAGGTAGAGTAAGGCTTTAGCTGTAGTCGAGAGCAGCTGAAGGGCTAACACAGGCATGAGAATTGTTAGGATCCTTTCATTTCTACACTGGTAGTTCTGAATTTATTTTATAGGCATTTGAAATATTTTTCATTTTAAATATCTCCAATATAACATATTATAATGCTTTTTAAGAATAAAGTAAAATTCAGTTTAAGAAAAATGAAATGGCAAATGAAGAGAGCCTCTATATCTTCACAAACAACTGGAATTTTTTCTGTATTGTGTCTTTCTCAGATATCGATGAGTGCACCTCAGGGACCCACACTTGTAGACTAGATCAAGTGTGCATCAATTTACGTGGCTCCTTCACATGCCAGTGTCTTCCAGGGTATCAGAAGAGAGGCGAGCAGTGTGTGGGTAAGTTACTGGTGCAGTATTAAGACTCTTGTCTTGAGAATCTTTAGGTATCAAAACAAAGCCCTCCCACTTGATTGAAGAATGATAGTTAGCAACTGCTTCTTCTTTTGATGATGACAATATAGTTTCCAACTACCAAGAGAAACCTTAAGGTTGAGTCTACCCTGAATACTAAAGTACTATAGACTAAGTGAAAGCAAAACTTTAGTCTGAATGGAATCATCAAGCAATTAAGAACTAAATTAATTAATGTTTAACTAATTAGGGATTGTGTCAGTAACATACTGGTGACAAGGGCTTCACTTGCCACTACACAGCAGAACATGGTACATGAGATAGATGCTGAAGTCAAATGCCCCCTCTACGATGACTATCATTTGACTCTATGGTTACTTAGGTTACTGTGCATCACCATAGTCATTTCTCCTGTAGAGACATCACTAGTTCCAACTCAGGAGCTCATTGGTATCAATGGTTAGCACATGTGTGGTCTTGTGCCATGAGGCTGACTGGGACCACCAGACAGAGTTAAGGTAGTCTAAAGCAATGATTTTCAACCTTCCTAATGCTGTGATCCTTAATACAGTTGCTCATATTGTGGTGACCCCAACCTTAAAATTATTTCATTGCTGTTTCATAACTATAATTTTTCTAGTGTTATAAATTGTAATATAAGTATCTGATATATGGATATCTGATATACAATCCCCAAAGGAGTTGTGACCCACAGGTTGAAAATCACTGCTCTAAAGCCTCTTTACATTACAAGTCTCTGATGATGACAGGATGTCTCCCTGAGGTCTGAGACCATGTCAACTTGTGTCACTTCTGGTGCCACAGTCCCCACAAAGTGTCCAGTACACTTGGCAAATGGTTTGCATACATTCTGAAGGAAGAAAGGAACACAGTTTGAGGAGGCCAGCTGGCATGCAGTGAACAATCAAGAGGCACAGCATAAGTCATGAACCTCTGGGATTAGCTCCCTCTGCCCATCTGTTTACATACCTAACCCTTTACCACAGACCAGTGGGAAGGCCAGATCATATGTCAGGAGCCAAGAGTGAGAGCTTGGGGACAGGCAGCCAGCATCAACGTCTACCTGAGAATGTGAGCTGTTGACATAAGTATATCAGCACTCAGCTCCTTGTAGACCCTGGCTAGCTCTGCCTGCCATGGGCTGTGTTTAGGTGCCCAGACTAAAGGAAGAACCAGGGTTTGTAATGCTGGAAGCTATGACACCAAACAAGAGCACTGGAAAATGCCACAGATGCCAAAGCTACACTTTTGGAGTTAGTCAGGAAAATAAACACTGAGGGCCTAAAAGTACAGTAGTAATACACTCCACTGCTGGGAGAATTGAAGACAAAGGAACACGGAGAGACAGCCTTTATGGGAAGGAAAGTGGAAAGATGAACTCACATCTGATCAAGTGTGTGTTGATGTAGTCCTCTCCCACAAAGGTAGCTCTACATTCCTCAGTAGAACATAAAGGGGTTTCCCCATCAGTTCAATTGCATCAACACCTTCCCTCCCAAGATACATCACAGCTTCTTCTCACTGGATATGATTCTGTGCCACACATTTATGCACATTTTTTCCAGAACATTGAGATACTCCCCTACAAAACCCTATTCCACTATCAAATCCCAACCCAGAGTCACCTCCCCTAGGAGTCATGATCTATCCAAATATAATTAGTCACTTCTCCTTACCAATTAAGAGGAAATAGATCTTTTTTGGAAATTTCCAATCTGTTGCAGTCTGATAGATATATAAACTATAATGAAAGTGTTGTGCTGGTTTTTCTTGCCATGGCTGAACATGCACTCTGAGTTTCTGTTATGGATGGATCCAGTCCTCCATGGACCACCACAGCCAGCAGGCCACTGAGATACTTGCTGACTCTGTCCCTTGTACACCTTTATATTAATGATCTTCACACTCTGGAGTAACACCCGTATCCTTTGCCAGGCAGATGCAGATTATATGTTCAGGTATGATTATACAACTTTTTGCCAAGTTAAATGCTGTAAAATGAATGTCTACTAGGTGAAGACACAGACACCTTGAGCCATGCCATCCTATAGTTACTGAGAGCTGACTGTGTGCCAGGTACAGTTATAGATTTTACAGAATCATTCCTCTGTAGCTATTTTTAAAAAACATATATATTGACTACTGATGGTGGCACCTTGTTATAACATAAGGTACTAGGAAGCACTATAAAGAATAATTATTAAGTAATGTAAGGTTCCCATTCATCAAATATTGTAATTAAGTACCTACTATACTAGCCCTAGCTCTGAGAATTAAACATATAGCAGAGAGTAGACAAGAGAGTAGATAGCTGTCTCAAAGGAAAACACAGTTCTTACTTGCCTCAAATAATAATCAGTGAGACAGATAAGCAAATAAATACATATCTCAAAATTACACAACAACAGGGGCTACAAGGAAGTCTAAAGCAGGATAAAAAACATATCTACTATCATACACAGTGAAAGGGTACCTGAGTACCATAAAGCATATACAAAGGTTGTGTGGATGTCTCTCTCTAGTTACTTCAATATGCTGATTAATCAACAACATTTTGTATCTTTTTTGTAATACCTCCCACTTTCCTTACCCACTTTCATCTGGATACATCACCTACTCTGTACCGTGTCAAGTTTCCAACCATTCTACCATATGGAATAAGAACTGGAAAGCTTTGGAGCTCAGACAGGGAATTGCCAGATCAGAGACTGAAACTCAGGTTAGCTTCAGTCCATTTGAACACAGTACTGTTAAAACAGCAAAGCAGTTTTGTTCATTTTTTATTCTTTTTTACCATGAGGTAATGTCACCCTGTAGTACTGTATTATATGTACAAAAGTGTCCTATTAAACTACACGTGTTATGCTGGAGTTGTCACTAAGTGTAGTCATGAGGTAATGATATTTTATTATGCTTCTAAGAGGGTCCTTCTCTGCAAGTTCTCTGTTGAACATTTTATAGTTGGAAATATTTATCAAAGAAGGACGTGGGCTGGAACACTTCATCCTAACGTCAGGACATTCTCAAAAGGTCACTTGTATAGTATCATTTCCTTTCACAATGTTCTTTCATTTGACCCTCCCAAAACTTTCTAAGATACACATGGCAAGCCTTCATATCGTGTTCTGAACAAATATGTAGCTACAAACGTTTAAATGGCTTAGCCACAGTCACCAGCTGAGGGCAGCCCACATCTCTCTTAATTGTAAACTGATCTTCACTCTTTTTCATTTTCCTTATTTTAATGAAGCTTTTGGCACCGCAAACTGACATCCTCAAGTGTGTGTGTGAAATGGTCTCAACCTCTTTTCTCTCTTTACATTTCAATGTGTTTATTTATTGCTGACATGGGTGTTTGATTGGTCTTTTGTTATGTTTTGTTTCTGTTTGTTTGTTCCTGTTTTGGTTGGCTTTTGAGTTTTTTTTTAATTTGCTTTTTGTTTGTTTTGGTTTGGTTTTTGGTTTTTTACAAGACAAGGTTTCTCTATGTAACAGCCCTGGCTGTCCTGGAACTCACTGTGTGAATCAAACTAGCCTCAAACTTACAAAGACCCACCTGCCACTGCCTTCCGTGTGCTGGGATCAAAGTCATGAACCACTATGCCCAGTTAACAATGTGGTTCTGTATCTGTGTCATCTACTTAGATATAGATGAATGTGCCGTGCCTCCATATTGCCACCAAATATGCATGAACACACCAGGTTCCTTTTACTGCCAGTGCAGTCCTGGGTTTCAGTTGGCAGCAAACAACTACACCTGCGTGGGTAAGTCTTGTGAGAACTGCTATCCTGACTGACCAAATTCTGCCTGAAAGAAAAGAAAACCTCACGGTATTGTGCATTGTTTCTGGTGTTCTGTGCTCCCAAGTGAACAGTTCAATCAGCTTCCCTTGTGGTCTTAAAGCTGAAAAGACAATAGCTAACCTGCTTCTTAAAGCACATCAGGATAGGAATGGAAAACATTTTTAAACCTTGATTCTAGTTCTCCTCAGTGTGTGTGTGTGTGTGTGTGTGTGTGTGTGTGTGTGTATTCTAAATGTGCTACATATTAATGGATATATATACCTCAATTAGTCAACAGTATGTGATAGAATGCTGAAGAGGCCAAAGGGTCATAAACTTTCCACTAGCAGTGCATGCAACCCTTTCAGAGGTCTGCATGGGTCTTAAAATTGTATGCTAAAATTGTCAAGGAATTTAACAGAAACCATTTAAGAAGTAACAAGTAGCCCAGATAACTCTTTACCACCACATTCTGAAAGACCATATCAGTTCAAGTGTCTTATAACAATTATTTATGGATTTGTATTTTGAATATGAACAACATAAGAAAATAGGTGCTGGAATATATGTTTATTGGAAGCATTAAATTCTTTGGGAGGAGATTTATCAAAAATCAAACTGTCATTCATAGAAAAAAATATATTCTGGTATTTTTAAAATAAGTGTGTGACAGACTTTAGAAGTTGTTCCAACAACTATGAAACTAAATGGATGCTCTCCAGTGAGCTTCTCCAGTAAGGAACTACTTACCATCAAATGATAGAAGCACAAAAGAACAAGGCTAAGCCTAAAAATGTCAGGCTAAGATACACAGAGATGATTAAATTTAAAACCTTTTCTTTAAAACCTTTCCTAGATATAAATGAATGTGATGCCAGCAACCAGTGTGCTCAGCAATGCTACAATATTCTTGGCTCATTCATCTGCCAGTGCAAACAAGGATATGAACTGAGCAGTGACAGGCTCAACTGTGAAGGTACCATGTTTTCCAGATGCAAAGGCCAATCTTATTGACATTTTCTTGTGTCTGCCAATGAAAAAAAAATCATACTCTCACAAATCCTGTTCTGTAAATCTTCTAAAGGCAGCTCAGTGAAAACCTTGGCTTTTGAGTGGGTTACTGGAAGAAATAAGATGCATTGAGTAGTTGGAACATAAGGTGTAGCATAGAAGTGTCTTCATCTCAAAGTATGCTACAGCAGCAGCTTCTGATGGGAGATTGTGAGAAACTGAGAATACCAGACCCTGTCTCCAATTTCCCAAGACAGAATCTGCATGTTTAGGCTTACAAAGAGCTGAGGGTATAGTAAAAAAAAACCAAGATACCTGGCCTCTAGCTTTCTCCATGCACTGTGTGGCTTGAACACATTTTTTAGGGAAGTCTCAGTTGCAATTTCTAATGAGTAAAACGATGGTCAGTCAATGGAAAGGGTGACCTTGAAAGTCCAGTGGAGATGCTTATCTTGGGTAATTCTAGGAGATTAAGGCATCATGAAGGGGATGCCATCAACATTTGATGTTCATACCTCCCTCATGATTCTGTCCATGTTTATTTGGGACCACATAGATCATACCCTATTCAAGGAAGTCTCAAACCATGCAATTGGGCTTAAAACCATGAGTTGTCAGCTCAGCACTGCTTGCTGCCTCTGCCCTGAGTTAGCAAACTATAGGGTAGGTGCTAATTCTGAAATGCAAAAGATTATTCCCCAGAAGGCCACACTATACCAAGAGGTCACCTCTGCAAAAATGCTTAGGTGTGGAAGTTGAAGAGAGCTCAGCAGTAGGCTCACACCATTACTGAACATGCAAGTACAAATCTGCTACCTGAGTAAGTATGCAGAACCCAGAATGAAGAGTGTCCCTCATGAGCCCACTCAGTCTGCTTAGCTTCAGTGAAAACCTCTGCAGACTGGTAGGAAGACATATGCCACAATTGGCCCCTGTGTTTCAGATAGAACCTTGCATTTCTTTTATTTTAGAATTTGCACTGTTTTGATGCTCTTTAGCTTATGTAAAAATACATAAAATAAAACTAGTGGCAGGAAAGTTTCTCATCTCTGTGTCCATGTTCTTGTCTAATTCTACAGACATTGATGAATGTAGAACCTCGAGCTACCTGTGTCAATATCAATGTGTCAATGAACCAGGGAAGTTCTCATGCATTTGTCCTCAGGGCTACCAAGTGGTGAGAAGCAGAACCTGCCAGGGTAAGCACTGTTCTTGTAAAGCCAAAGTCCAGAGGTAGCTTGGAATAACATGGGAAAAGTCACAGGATTCAGACCTTCATTTTCTGATCATGATTATACAATTTGTGTTTCTGATTCCTAACATTAATAGAATACAGTTGATGAAAGGGAGATTCAATGGTACCCTGACTTTCTTTAAACTTTAATTTCCTTTCTTAAAAAAATGTGATTTAAATAAAATTTAACATTTATTAATATATTAACATCTGTGGAATTATAACTTCCAATAATCTACCAAAAAGATTCACTTATCAAAATATTTTACCCTGAGTTCTAAGTTTAGAGCCCACTCTTACTACCTAGGCTAGATATCCTTAAACAAACCTCAATTCTGAATTATGTACATTCGGGGGGGGGAGGTGAGCAAGGGTCTTGATATATAACCCAGGCTGGCCTCTGCTAAGTGCTGAGGTTACAGGCATATGCCATCACTCCAAGTCAATTCATATTGGATTTTAGGTGTTGATGAAAACAAAACCAATGATGGATGTTAAAATGTGTTTGAATGACGCAAAAAAAAAAAGTGTTGATCCAATAATGGCTAGTGACCATGGGCCCAATTTCTCGTGGGTGGAAGAGATCTCTGAAAATATATGATTCAGAGTCTGCCAGGAAGATGGGAATATATGCATCCTCTCTCCTAACCTTCAGTGTTGTATACAGTTTGAAATTTTGCTAATGGGAGAAAGATTGTCAAATAAAGGCAAAAATATAGATAATCCAAGAAAAATCTAGTATAAACACATTTACACAAAATGATGGAAAAATATATGACTGAACTTAGTGACAGAAAGCCTACATGAATCTAACTCTACTGAATTCTATCTATATAGTCTGAATGAGTCAACAGACTTTTTTAAGTCTTGCCTTTCTCCTTTGAAAAGAAGAAGTGCAGGAATGAAACAAAACAACACATTACACGATTTACACAATTCAGGGTTTTGATGAAATTTACTTAGCAATGTAACTGAATATTATTAAATCTCTAGAGAGTCCTTTTTAGCTGGAATTAGAAAGACTATATGTGAGGACAGGAAAGACCTTTAAAAGTGGAGTCTTAGTCTAATATCACAATTGTATGGGGGCAGCTATGAACTCAGAGGACAACTGAGATCTGGGATTTTGTAGTGTGGAAACACACCCCAGCCAGTGTGTATAAGTGTAATCAGAATGCCATCTCTTGCACAATGACATCTTTATAACCCTTCCCGGGTTACTAAAAACTCCACAAATGTTAATTGTGGGAAAACATTGCATTCCAATGGTCTCACTTCACCCTAATTGAGATATGAATATTACATGCAGAAAAATATTAGCCAGTTGAATATTTTAACCAATTCCCCTGAAATCATCCAAACAAATGTCTGTGTGGTTCTAATCACAAGTGAATTTGATAGTCAGCAGAGACAGATTCAAATTAATGTGTGATATGATTTTATTTGCCTGGGCTTTAGCTTCAGGAATATTTCTGTTATAATTAATTAGGGATAAAATGCATTGAAATCAAGAAAGAGCTTACAGTGATGTCATGTTGAAGATACACAGCAGCAAAGTGGCTTTTGGTGACACAAACTTCCATTCTTTAGACACATAAAGCAGTTGCTTCCTTCTGCTGAAACCCCAGAACTAAGTAAATCTAACATATTGGAATTCTTATCTTTTTCCAAGAAATTCAGAGGGTATGATATGAATGGTCTCAAGACCATAAAGTCACAAAAATCAGAGCAGAGCACTGTGAAAGTGTATATCTAGACATGGACAAAAGAAGATGTACTTGCACATACACACATACAAATATTTTAATATTGTTTCTTCCTAAAATGTTTTCCAGGATGATATAGCTGTTGATTATGCTAGATCTTATATTACTGGAAGCAATAAATGAAATCATAGCCTCAAGTTTCCTTATGCCACTGCCATTCTCCATTAAATGAACCAATATTGGCATTCTTTGTAGCTGTACACCACCTTCACTGTGCAAAAAGGTGGAAATATTTAAAGGATATGTCAACAGTGACATCAAGGGAATCTAGATTTTTTTTGTCTTTAGCAATAGGCCAAGATGACAGTTCTCTGAAAATGTAGCTTTTCAATTCCAGGACAGGCTCCAAAGCAAAACAAAAAACAAACAAAAATGAAAAAGATAAAGGAGAAAGAAAGAAAATGTTGCTTTTCCTGTTTCCTGCTAGACGATAGAAAACTTCAGCCAGTTGGAAATTAAAGAATTGCTTTTCTCCAAAGACATGACATAAAATTATTCTCACAATAGAACTATACCTGTTATGTTATGACCTTGAACTTAACCTGTTTTTCTCCATAACAAACCAAGATATTCTTGTCACCTAGCTCCACATAGCTTTATAAAAACAACTGAAACAACATTCATTAAAGCCAGGTGATTCATGCCTCAACACTAGCTAATGGAAAGACACAGCTGCCCCTCCACAGGTAGTAATAACAAATAGACAAAACACAGATTTTTCTAAAGTAAACAACAAGTACTCTAAAGGGACTATATCAGGTATAAAAATTCCAAGGAGCTGACACCCAGCTCCCAGCCAGCTGACTTGAAGCAGGATTAGGTAAATCATTAAGTAGAGCTAAATTAAAGAATGAAAATGCTCACTTATAGGGAAGGCGTGATTCATAAAAGGCTTCTGTGAGACAAAATAGAAACTACAATTCACATAGAAATGAAGTGGGAATCACATAAGAATATGAACATTAACTATTGCTAGTGGCATACAGTAATGCTTGCTAATAAAACCCTTTCTTCAGTTATCATCTAGGGATCCAAGTAGTCTTTCTAGTTGGTCTAACCACCACTCTCAAGACTCTCAAGACTCATCTGGCTGTTTCTGTTTACATTGCCTTTTCCCTATGTCCCTGTCACCAATAACAGTCCCTTCTTCTACACAGTCCTAAAATATCTCTGCTCTATGAGGTGGAACATTTACTTCATAGCTCACTTTTTCAGTGCACCCCACTCCCAGCACATCCTCTGTCCCTGTTCCTTGCAGACTGTTACTGCATCTCTCTCTCCTCCCACCCCCCCTCTCTCTCTCTCTGTGTGTGTGTCTGTGTGTGTGTGTGTGTGTGTGTGTGTGTGTTTCTCCCTCCTACCCCTTTCCCAGGCTCCTGAAACAGCTGCCCTCCCTTAGAAATATTTCCCTCTTTACATGACAGTTTATCTACACACCATCCTTTTACTAAATTAATTTTAATTAAATTAAAAACAATCTTATTTAAATACTAATCCCAGTTCTTTCTCCATCCCATTTCCCCCACTACCCCCCATCCTACCCCTCATCTACCCCTCAAGGAGGGTGAGGCCTCCCATAACGGATCATCAAAGTTTGCCACATCACTTAGGTCAGGACCTAGGCCCGCCTCCATGTATCTATGCTGAGAGAGTATCTCTCCACAAGGAATGCGCACCCAAAGCCCATTTGTGCACTAGAGATAAATACTAGTTCCACTGCCAGAGGCCCCATGGACTGCCCAAGATCCCCAGCTGACATCCACGTTCAGGGGGACCTAGTTTGGTCCTATGCAGGTTCCCCAGCTTTCAAACTGAGGTCCATGAGCTCCTCCTTGTTCAGGTCAGCTGTTTCTGTGGGTTTCTCCAGCCTAGTCTTGACCTCTTTGCTCATCACTCCTCTCTCTGTGCAACTGGATTCCAGGAGTTCAGCTCAGTGTTTAGCTGTGGGTGTCTGCTTCTGTTTCCATCAGCTGCTGGATGAAGGCTCTATAATGGCATTTAAGGTACTCATCAAGAACACTTAAGGTAGCCTCTCCACTGTTGCTTAAATTCTTAGTTGGAGTCATCCTTGTGGATCCCTGAAGGTTTCTGTGGCCAGGGTTCTTGTCAAGCTCAGAGGACCACTTGAGATGCCCCACTTCCATTCTTATCCCTAATCCTCCACAACAATAAGCTGAGGGCGTGTTTACATAGTATAGTGGTTATCACATAGCTGTACTTAAGATTGTTGTGTTCTTACCTGAATCTAAATTTCATTTTACTATGCAAGTAACTGTTGTCCCATCTATATTCCCAACTAGCTCCTTGGAGCAGGAGATGACATTTTTTGTTGGAATTTTGTTTACTTTCATATAAGCAAAGTCATAATCAGCATTTGACTTTGAATTCAGCAACTGGACAACTAGCGAGAGATAAAATATCGGAAAATATCATATATTAGTCCACAATGGCTCCGCTATATCTATCCTGATGTTGATGTAGCCGACTTAGGTCAGTTTCATCTCTAAGCAAGCTGAACAGGCCAGGTGTGGTGGTATACACATATATATATATCAGGGGGCTAAGACATGAGAATTTTGAGTTCAAGGCCAGCTTTGATTACACTGTGAGGACCATACCAGCTTGCTCTACATGGCAAGACAAATAAAAATAAATAAAAGTAAACAAACCACAATCTAGAATCCCTCCCGCTCCCCATGTCCTTCCTTACAAACCACAATCTGTCACACATATTCTTTAACCCTGTGCCTGTAGATATAAATGAATGTGAGACCAATAATGAATGCCAAGAAGATGAAATGTGCTGGAATTATCATGGCGGCTTCCGTTGTTACCCACGAAACCCATGTCAAGATCCCTATATTCTAACATCAGAAAAGTAAGAAATACTAGAGCCTTTATATTAAAAGTAAGAAATGTTTTGTCCACCTGAGCCAAACTGGTGACTACTTCTGTTTTGTCTTTACAGCCGATGTGTTTGCCCTGTATCAAATGCTATGTGCCGAGAAGGGCCCCAGTCCATAGTCTACAAATACATGAGCATCCGATCTGACAGGTCTGTGCCATCAGACATCTTCCAGATACAGGCCACAACTATTTATGCCAACACCATTAATACTTTTCGGATTAAATCTGGAAATGAAAATGGAGAGTTCTACCTACGAGTAAGTACACTGACAATATTTGCTGGTGGAAAGATGCCCATTCATTGTGTGCATTCACATGAAAGTTGATCTACAATCTAACAGTTTCACATGTAGGCATTCTATCCAGCCTCCTGGGGGTATATGTGGCAATACTATCAGATATTAAAATCTAAACTTTAAAGAAAAGTGAAAATCTAAAAGATTAAGTAGCCTTCCAAATCCAAGCCATAGAATCTAATAAAGCTATGTGTAACTCCCCAAAACACAAGCATGCCATAAACAGGTATTACAGATGCATGCTGTCTAATTATACAGAAAAAAAGCACTGAGAGCTTTTCTTGTGATAAAGTTTATGGGTTGTTTTGATGTTTGCACATTTAATCTAGCTATCCCTTGATATATTAATTTCCTCCTTGCTCCAAAGTAACAGATTCCTTTTTTTTTTTTTTTTGGCCAGAGAATCAGAATTGATTTCTCAGAGCCAATTTCTTTTTTATCATTTTTTATTTTAAAACAATCTTTTCTCAATTTACATATGAATCCGAGTTCCCACTCCCTCCCCTCCTCCTGCTCTCCCACCTCCCCCCCCCCACACACCATCCCATCCACTCCTCAGAGAGGATACAGCTTCCCATGGGGAGTCAAGGAAGTCTGGCACACCACTTTGAGGCAGAACCAAGGCCCTTCCCTCTGTATATAGGCTGAGCAAGGTTTCCTTCTAAAGAGAATGGGCTCCAAAAAGCCAGTTCAAGCACTGGGGAATAAATCCTGGTCTCACTGTCTGTGGCTCCACTGACTGCCCATGCCACACAACTATCACCCACATTCAGAGGGCCTACTTTGGTCCTCTGCTGCTTCCCTCACAGTCATTCTGAAGCCAATAAGGTCCCACTAGCTCAAGTCAGCTGTTTCTGTGGGGTTCCCCAAATTGTTCTTAACCCATTTGTTCATATTATCACTCACTCCTTCTCTTCGACTGTACTCTGGGAGCTTGGCCCAGCACTTAGCTGTGGACCTCTGCATCTCTTCTATCCATTGTTGAATAAAGATTCTATGATGATAGGTATTCATCAATCTGATTACAGGAGAAGGCTAGTTCAGGCACCCTCTCCACTAATGCTGAGAGTCTTAGCTGAGGTCATCTTTATGGATTCCTTGGAATCTTCCTAGTGTCAGATTTCTTGACAAGCTCATAAGAAGCCTCCTTCTAACAAGATATCTCAGAGAGAATTTCTTAAGACAAAAACTCAACTCAAAATATTGTCCATTGCTTTTGTTTTTCCTAATAGGAAAGATTAATTTTCATTAACATATGATGTTTTAAACTTAAGCTATACTAGGTATTTACAGAAGTTGCCTCAGCATGAGTCTTCAGTTCCAGTGCTTATTAATAATTGATCAGTAACTACATGGTAGCACAACAATTTTTCTCAAAAACTTCAATAAAGTAACTTTCTATTTTGAACTTTTAGCCATCACTTAAGAAGATAAACTCTTCCTATCCTAATCATCCTGCAACATGTTTTTTTTTCCTCCATAGTAAATGTGGCATTTTGAAAATTATTTTTATTTATATCTGCTTATATTTTTCTGACTTAACTTTTAAAGCATAAATGATATTTTTTCTCCAGAAATCCCCTTCTCATGAATGATGTGAAACATTACCAATTTGGTATAGTGATGTAGTGTTAGATATTTTAAATTATATGCAGTTAAAACCAAAAAAATTTCGAGAAAGGTTTGACTGCACATGCCTGAAATATCACCTTTCAGGAGTACAAATCAGAAAGAATGTCAGGTCCAGGCCAGTCTGAACTCTCCAATAAATAAGTCTAAAGGCAGTCTGGGCTCTCTCTCCAGTAAGTCTGAGACCCGGCTGGGCTATCCAGTGTGAGGCCAGCCTGGTTCTCCAATAAGTCTGGGGTCAGTCTGGGCTTTCTCTCCAGTAAGTCCAAGGCCAGTCTGAAGTTCTAAGAAAGAGTTCATCTCAAAATAAAAATAAGAAAAATATCCAAATAATAGGAATAAATTTATCATACAATTGAAGCCAACTCCTACAAGTTTTCTACACTGAAATTCCACCTATAGACAGTATTTAATGCAGAAGGATCAGCCTTCAGGCTTTAGTTGCGTACCTACTGTGTTCTCAGGCCTGTGCTGGCTTCTTTGAGAAAGTAAGAAGACACTCAGTGCATGGTTCTTTCTTTCAAATAATTTCTGACTATGCCAATTTTACCCTAGGCTAATTTAGTGTTTAATTCTCTGGCCTAAATATAGGCCATGCTATGGATAAGATCCCTCAGCATATGGAAGGAATGGCCCAAATTGCTCAGAAGAGAGCTAAATCATGAAAACTCCTGCCTTGTAACCTGACCTGAGTCCTACTGACCATCCCATCCACTCTAACATTCACGTCACCCTGCCACCAACTCCCCAACCCCCAGCCATGCCCTGAAGTTTCTTGTTGTTCAGAACAGTATCACATGAAAATCTTGGTCTTCCGTGACTCATTCAATAACTGACCCTCCTCTTCATGCTTTTATTCTCACTCTGTGAAATAGCACCTCACATCCCCTGCCAGCAATCCCACATAGATTCCACACCAAGCTTCTAAGCACTGCTAGGTAATACTACAGAAGTTTAGTCTCCACTTTGAGATTGCTCCTTAATATGATAAACAATCCTGTTTCTTCTCTTGTATCTTTCATACTATCTTTGGCCCTTATCTCAAATGTCCCCATATTTAGTAAGTCCTTATACCCTACTTTTTAGTGGTGAGTCACTTGCTGCTTTGAAACCACTGACACCAGCATTAACACTGACAGGCTTAAGTTTCCCATTCTACCCAATAAAAATGTTCATCTGTGTTCTCCATCTGGTTTCCAATGATATTTTGTATTTGTCAGTCAAGACCAGCTGGGCCCTATGCACTCCTCATTCCATTTCCTCTGGGACCCTATTCTATCAGACTCTCTTCTACCTCCAAACTTTGAATCCATGTAGATGTTACACTGTCTCTCTTCTGAGCTGTTCTGTAATTCTTCACTTCTTGGGCATTTCTTTGTCTTTCAGTCAAATACTTCACTGACATTTCTGGGGTGGGGAAGCCACCAATGACATCCATAATGTTAAATCCAAGGATATTTTTCAATTCTTGTATTTAATTCTCCTTTGCACTGCTGGGTGCTCCTGTCCACTTACATGTTCTCTGTTTAAGCACTTATTTCTTATCATCTTTGCTCTCCTACTTTTTAAATTAAGTGTGCGGTTTTATAAATATACGGACAAATGTGTGCTTAGGTGTACACAGAGACCAGATGAGGGTGTCAGATCCCTGAGAGTTGCAGTTACAGCAGTTGTGAACTGCCTGGTGCGGATTCTTGGATCTGAGCTCCATACCTCACATTAGAGAGGCAAGAAGTCTTACCCAGCAGCCATCTCTCTAGCCCTAGTCTCAGTCTTTGATTTTTCTCCTCTGTCCATTCCTTCAATGCCTTCAGTGCCATCCTCTTTCAGAACTCTGTAATGTGTCCTAGTTTAGTATATCCCTTGTAGTGGAAGCTAAATCTTAATCCATGTTTCTGTCCTTTGTATCCAGATTAATTCATTTATTTTCTGGTCCCTCTGATGAAGCTCCTTTCACTCTCCAATGCCTACTCCATGTCCAGTTCTGAACATGTGACTTTACAGAGATTCTCGTGTTCCATGATAAGTCTAAGGCAATGGTTCTCAACCTTCCTAATGTTATGACACTTCAATATAATTCCTCATGTCATGGTGAGCCCCAACCAAAAAATTATTTTTGTTGCTATTTTGTAACTGTAATGTTGCTACTCTTATGAATTATAATATAAATACCTACTTCTTTCAATGATCTTGGGTGACCCCTGTGAAAGGGTCATGACCCACAGGTTGAGAACACTTGCTCTAAGGCATTTGAAAGCTTTACATTAGTGTTTTAGGAATATGTATACATAGTTTTGTACTCATAGTATGTATATCCAGACAGCATAACATTTGCCATGTTCTGTTTAAATTGACTACTTAAATCTGTTCATTTCTTGTTTGAGAAAGGGTTTTTATATAGCCCTGGATGCACTGGAACTCACTTATGTAGACAAGGCTGTTCTTTACTCTGTCTGCCTCTACCTCTAGGACTCAAGGCATATGCTAGTGTGCCTGGATATTTATTCAACTCTTTATTCACTAGAATGTAAACAAATTGTCATACTGTTTCTATTGCAGTAAAGAGACACCATGACCACAGCAACTCTTATAAAGGAAAACATTTAATTTGGGGTGGCTTACAGTTCAGAGATTAAATCCATTATAATCATGGGGGCACATGGTGGTATGCAGGCAGACATGATGCTGGTGTCTCCACTGGGCATAGCTTGAGCATAGAAGCCCTCAAAGCCTACCCCCACAGTGACACACTTCCTCCAACAAAGCCAAACCTACTCCACAAAGCCACATCTCCTAATAGTGCCACTCTCTATGGGCTTATGGGGGCCAGTTACATTCAAACCACCACACAAACGCACAATGATAACTTTCTTTACCAGCTCCAAGACTATCAGATTCTTATATGAACCCTTTAGAAAGACTGGAACTAAAGAAAAATCTGTGAAATGTTAACATACATTAACAAGAAATGTGGGAAAATGAAAAGATTGTTAAGAGCAAACACTTGCCTTGGAGCCAGTGCATTTGAGGGATTAAGGTAAGAGTGGAGGTTGGAAGCAAGCAAGGACTAAGCAATGCTTCTTTATCTTATCCTCTCCTGATTATCACAGGAAGTATGCTAATAAAAAACAGAAACTGTAACCCAAGAAAAATCATTCTCTCCACCCCTTTTCTTGTTATTTTAGCAAATAAGCCCGGTGAGCGCGATGCTTGTGCTTGTGAAGTCACTATCGGGACCGAGAGAATACATCGTGGACCTGGAGATGCTGACAGTCAGTAGCATAGGGACCTTCCGCACAAGCTCTGTGTTACGATTGACAATAATAGTGGGGCCATTTTCATTTTAGCCTTTTATAAGAGTCCACCACAGGCAAAGAATATTGTGACATTAAAGCACTATTTTATTTATAGATATATCTAGCACATCTATATCCAGATAGTTACACTAAGGGAGGAAGTGGGCATTTAATCTTTAAGATTCAAACTTTATCCTTATCACTGAGTGTAAATTAGAAATTAATCCACCAAAGATTCTTCTTGAAGGGAGCTAAGCATATATTATCTGGTGAAAGTTGGATTCTTTCCTATAAAAATGGGACCAAGCAATAATACTGTTCTACAGTGTATAGAGAAATAAACAGTTCTACAGACCATTTCAGGAGGATTGGCCATCTTAACATCAAGAACAAGGAGGAGGGGTTTCTAACTGCTTTGTAAGAAAAAGGAAAATAGGCAATAAAGATATATTTCTTTAGAAAATGAGAATCTATCATGTTTGTGTTGATCTGCATTTTAATGATAAGTTAAAGGTTCTGTTTTTTGTTTTGCAGTAAAGTATTACTATGCAATATAACAGTTTCTATAGAACTCTTAAACTTTATCATAAATGTCACCCACAATTCCAAGTGAATCACATATTCTCAAAAATTATCCCATTGAGAAGTCTACGAGAAATAATAAAGAAAATAGTACTTTGCAAAACCATTTTAGAACCCTCCAAAGAAGCAAGTACATGTAATAGAATCCCTGAAGCAAGAAAAGCACCCAAGGTTCAGAAAGAAATGGAAAGAAGGCATTTCCCTGGGGATACTCCTGTTTCTCAGCTTAACTTCCAGCAAGCCTCTAATTTGCCAGGAAGACGCTAATCCTTGCTTTGGGCTTTTAGAGGAAGATAGGGTGGCTCTTTACACTTAAAATTCATATTGACCTCCTACCCAATTCTGTGAAAAAGTCTTGTTGATGTAAAATAGCTGCTCCTCTTTGATGTATCACTTTTTAACTAAAAATAAATATTCTTTTATATCATCCAGTTTTCAGAAGTTGTTTTAATGTGGCCAGTAACAGCTGATATAATTTTTTTTTATATTGAGAAAAATCACTTACAGCTGCCAGAGGAAGAACAACCTTTATATTTTATGTATTTAAATAATAAAGTAGGAGATGAAGACACACAAAGACTATTAAAATCATGCCATAAAAAGTTGTGTTCAGCCAATTTTTTTCTTAAATGTGATTTCAAAACACAAATGACCTCACTACTGAAAACAAATGTCTTTTGAAGTTGACTGAATGTTCAAGAATTGTCAAAAAGAGAATTCACTAAGGAATAAAATACAAACTCATTGTGTGTAAGGAATTGGGGTGGGTTTCATGAACTTCAGGGCACAGAAACAGAGAGCAAAAGATCCTGCTGAACAGCCACAGGACTGCTAGACTGTGAATGCAACCCTCGCACTTGCTATACCACAGTCTACAATCCACATAAATTAAATATTTGCATAAACATTTCCATTTAAACCAATTTAGATTTCCCCTCCCATGGACAGTGCCCTAAAATCAGAGCTGAACACCAGGAAATGAGGACTGTCTAATTCTGTGTTGGTCTTCAGTGATCAGCTTAGAGCAGATGTTGGCTGCAGAGCATTATATTGCTACTGTACTGGTGTCTATAGGACTCTAAAACTTTGCCAGAGATTTCATTTGAAGCCTAAGACATTTTCCAAGGTTTTTCCATCTTAAAAAAGACAGGCTTGTCTCTAGCTCTCCATGGCACTGCTGAAGAATCTGTAGAATATTCATGCATAAATGCTGGCACTTTAGCATCACTTCAAACACTGCATATAATATCTGGGTCAACAGGAGCCATTAGCTTCCAAAAAAGATGGTTTCTCTTTTAGTCTTAAGCCTGGTCCAACCCACAAATCACAGACATATTGAAAAGACTGATATACTTCAATCCCATGGAAGCAATTCTTTTCTATATATTGTAAATGCACATGATATCTGATGCTCTGTTTTAGTGTATGCACACTTCAGTGCATGCAGCACACTCACCAATCCCTGCAACTATCACCACTCTCTAGAACCATGACACTTTATACACACACACATGCACACACACACACACACACACACACACACACACACACACACACACTCTACAGTCATTCCCAGCCCCACTTGTCACAAGCTCTTGTAAGAGCTACTTCTGTCTGGATTTGTAATTCTGACATTTTCTATGAATAGAAACATATATAAGTGGCCCATATGTCTGGCTTCCTTCATTTAGCATGTTTCAGAATTCACTGGCAAGCATTTATTTGTAATTCTCACAAAATAGTTTATATCTCTAATTCATTCCTTTTGTGACTTTTGCACAGATAATTCATCAATGATTAGACATCACTTGATATATCATTTCTGCCCATAATTATCCTTATCATACATTTTAACAAGAAACTGATTATTACCCATCCATTTCAGAACCAAAATTAACCTATTTTCAGCTAAATTTTGCCTGGGAAAAAAAGCAAGTAAATACTTTTAATTCACAGGAGCAAAGGCTTGCAAAGGACTTGGGGAAGCTAACACACAAGTTCCTTTACAGGAACAACAATTCTCAGTACACACAAAAATCATATGATCTCTTTGACTATAGTTTGAAATTCAAAGTCAGTGATGACCCAAATTCTGAGGCAGTAAAACAAAGCCCTGCTTTGTTTTCCAGCTGTATGGTTCCATCCTTCTGTCCTTGAAAATCACTGATCTGCAGCAGTTCCCATGGCTGGAAACTACAGGAGTGATTCACTGTCAAAGTTATAATTAGACATTTCTATTGGCACACATTCATTGAGGATTTCTACAATAACCTTGTCGACACTGGTCGAATGCAGAAGAACCAGGACTCTAGAAGAAATTGAAGCAATTCCCATAGCTTCTTGATGTCTCTGTTAATTTATGTATAAAATGAGAAGGCTGAAACTGGTCTCTTCCAGTTTTAAGCACTTTTTATTCCCCACCCCATGGATATATGGAGAGCTCTCTCAAAAGTACCTGGGTGCTCTGTGAATGTAACCATTGTTGGGAAGTACTGCACACCTCTGGAAGAAAATGGTTACTGTCCAAAAATAGGCCCTCACAGTGTGGGCTCATCTTCTGAGGACATGAAAATAATCCAGTTCAGCTACAAACATTTAAAATTTACAATATAAAATGCATTTGTACATATTAACTCTTAGAAAATGCCTTTTTAAAGAACTGGAGGGGCAGTGTACCAGGAAGTGGGGGGATAGCACATAGCAGATAGCCTCCCTTCCACCTAGTGGGCACTAGGGACTGAACTCAGTCACTGGGCTTGCAGCAACCACCTGCCCACTTCTCTCCACCATACTAACTGGATTACACAGCAAAAGTCATTTACCTTGCCTTTTACAGAGAAGGGGCCGGTCACATAACACCATGATGCAATGTACTTCCAGAGAAATGTCTGTTTTCCTCAGTGAGGCTCAGAAACGAAGACTGACACAGACACATTCAAAAGTTGTGTCCTGGCTTAGGCCTTCAAGCCTTCTGAATGCATGGATTTTATGACAGTGGTCAAGAAAGGACTGGTAACCAAAAGGGGGATTATGTCCCTCAGTTGCAAAATCCCTACACTAAGCAGCTTGACAAGATGAAATTTCCATCCCCCCCCAACCAAAAACACTCTCCTGTCACAAAGCATCCTTTTTAAGTAATCAAATGACTTATATCTGATCATTTTTATTTAATAGTTTTTTCTTATTTTACATATCAATCCCAGTTCTCTCTCCCTCCCATTCTCCCATGCCCCCCAAAAGCCCCTCCATCCCATCCACTATCCACTCCCTAAAGAGGGTGAGGACTTCCATGAGGGATCATAAAAAATATGTTAAGTCATTTAAGGTAGGACCTAGGCCCTCTCCCATGTCTCTAGGCTAAGGGAGTATCCCTCCATGGAAAATGGGCTTCCCAAGTCTGTTTGTGCACTAGGGATACATCCTGGTTCCATTGCCAGAGGTCCCATAGACTGCCCAGGCCTCCTAAGTGAAATCCACATTCAGGGAGTCTGGATCAGTCCTATGCTGGCTTCCCAGTTATAAGAGTGGGGTTCATGAGCTCCCCTTGTTCAGGTCAGCTGTTTCTGTGGGTTTCTCCAGGCTGATCTTGACCCATTTGATCATCACTTCTCCCTCTCTGCAACTGGATTCCAGGAGTTTGGATCAGTGTTTAGCTGCTGATCTCTGCTTCTGCTTCCATCAGCTACTGGATGAAGGCTCTAGAATGGCATATGGGGTAGTTATCAATCTCATTATAGGGGAAGGGCATTTAAGGTAGCCTCTCCACTATTGCTTAGGTTGTTAGCTTGGGTCATCCTTGTAGGTCTCTGGACATTTCCCTAGTGCTAGATTTCTCTTATTTCTCTTTAAACATATAATGACTCCCTCTATTATGGGATCTCTTTCCTTGTTCTCCTCTAATCTTCCCCAACTCAATCTTCCTGCTCCCTTATGTTCTCCTTACCCCTCTCCTTCTCCCCTTCTTTCTCCTGATTTCCTCTCCCCTCCCACCATGTTCACAATTTGCTCAGGAGATCTTGCCCCTTTCTCCTTCTGTGAGGTACCATGTATGTCTCTCTTAGGGTCCTCCTTGTTACCTAGATTCACTGGCAGTGTGGATTGTAGGCTGGTGATCATTTGCTCTATGTCTAAAATCCATATATGTCTTTTTGTGACTGGGTTAGCTCACTCAGATTGTTTCTTCTAGTTCCATCCATTCACCTGCACATTCCAAAATTCCATTTTTTTTTCCTACTGAGTAGTACGCCATTGTGTAGATGTACCAAATTTTCTTTACCCATTCTTCAGTTGAGGGGCATCTAGGTTGTATCCAGGTTTTAGCTATTACAAATAATGCTACTATGAACATAGTTGAACAGATGTCTTTGTTGTATGAATGTGCATATTTTGGGTGTGTGGCTAAGAGTGGAATTGCTGGATCTTGTCCTAGACTGATTCCCATTTTCCTTAGTAATCAACATATTGATTTCCAAAGTGGCTATACAAGAATGTACTCCCACCAGCAGTGGAGGACTGTTCCCTTTCTCCAAATCCTCTCCAGCCTAAACTGTCATAGGTGATTTAACTATTCTGACAGGAGTAAGATGGTATCTCAGAGTTGTTTTGATTTGAATTTCCCTGATGGCTAAGGATATTGACCAATTTCTTAAGCATCTTTCAGCCATTTTGTATTCCTCCATTGAGAATTCTCTATTTCTCCACTGCATTTTTTAATTGGATTATTTGGTATTTTGGTGTTGAGCTTCATGAATTATTTGTATATTCTGTAAATCAGCCTTCTGTCAGATATGAGTTTGGTGAAGATCTTTTCCAAGTCTGTAGGCTGCCACTTTGTCTAGTTGACTGTGTCCTTTGCCCCTACAGAAGCTTCTCAGTCTCAGGAGGTTCCATTTATTAATTGCTGATCTCAATGTCTGTGCTACTGGTGTTATGGTCAGGAAGCAGTCTCCTGTACCAATTCTTTCAAGGGTCCCTCCCACTTTCTTGTCTAAGAGATTCAGTATGGCTGGATTTATGCTGAGGCCTTTATCCATTTAGACTTTAGTTTTGTACATGGCAATAGATATGGATTTATGTGCAGTATTCTACATTCCAGCATCCAGATATTCCAGAACCATATATTGAAGATTCTTTCTTATCAAATTGTATAATTTTAGTTGCTTTGTCAAAAATCAGGTGTTCATAGCTCTGTGGGTTAATGTCATTGTTTTAAATTCAATTCCATTGGTCTACCTGTCTATTTTTGTGCCAATACGAAGCTGTTTTCAAGACTAAAACTCTATAATAGAGCTAGAAGTCAGGGATGGCAATGCCTCCAGAAGTTCCTTTATTATACAGGATTGTTTTGGCTATCCTGGGTCTTTTGTTTTTCCATATAAAGTTGAGTATTTTTCTGTCAAGGTCTGTGAAGAATTATGCTGGTTTTTTGATGGGAACTGCATTGAATCTGTATATTGCTTTTGGCAAGATTGGCATTTTTGCTATGTTGATCCTACTTACCCAAGAGCATGGGAGATCTTTCCATTTTTCTGGTATCTTCTTTAATTTCTCTCTTTAAAGACTCAAAGTTCTTGATATACAGGTCTTTCACTTTTTTGGTTAG